TTTCCCTAGAAAGGGGCTATTTTGTAGGGATCACTGAATATTCAGTCTTGGGGATCCTCAGAATGGGAGGTGATCCAATCTGATCAAGAATGCAAGGTAATGGGTTCAAAGAGCTCACTGTCTGGCTGGAAGGCTTCATTCAGCAAATGCTGTTCCAGCATCTAATTTCTCACACTGTGACATTAGCACTTGGTTCTTTGAGATGAGGACTGTTTTTGTGTCTGTGCAGAGTACCCTACTGTTTGCATAATGAGAGTTCTCTACCATTCACATCACGTTCCCTATGTAGAGTTTTCATCCTTCCATTTCAGTGGGCCAAAGCTGTTTCACCAAGAGGTTTACAAGGATGGGCATGTCTGGGTATGGCTGGAAGTGTGAATGGGATGCTTTTATCCCTGCCAGGTCTCAATCCTGCCTGCCTGTCTCTGGTAATGGCCCATGCACAGTCCTCTCTGAAGGATTTTTAAGGAGGGGAATATCAGGTCTCCCTGGTGGCCTAGGGGTGGACTGTCACCACTATGGCCTGAGTTTGATTTCTAGCCAGGGAGCTACCCACATGGCTCAGGAGACCTCTCCTGTCTCACCCGCTGCTCCCCTCAGCAGTGTATTTCAGTCGATCTGCCTGTTCTGTTCCCCACTCTGTCTCTGGTGAATCCTCTCACCCCCTGCACCTCTGGCCTGTACCCCAGCTCTTGTATGCATGAATAAATAAAATAAATCTTAAAAAAAAAAAAAAAAAGACAGAAGTTTCAAAGAAATATGGGAAGTGCTGGTGGGGAGGTGAGAATAAAGGTACCGGTCCTAGCTTAAGAAGTTCAAAGAAACTTCCCAGAGAAAACACCTTTCACTGTTGCAGAAACGAGATCAAACACAAGGGATTTTTCATGACTAAAAGATCCCATCTTCAAGCTTCTGGTTCCTCTGACAAGTAGAGGTCTGGCACATCTGCTAGGGGTAGAGGTAAGAGAAGCTGAGGGAAGCGAGGATGGTCTGAACTGATTTTGAGTATGATGGGTGAGTTTACTAAGGAATAAATGATGTAAACTCCATCAGCAGGGAGCTTTACCTATTCTGATAAGTATCCCAAGTACTTAGAAAGTACTTACAGTGCCTATCACATAGCAGATACTTAATAAATGTAATGCATGGCTAAATGCTTTTCAAGAGATGGTGGAACTCACCATTAGTTGTAGATCATGAGTTTATGGTGGCACCATTTTTCTCATTCATATGTGTGATTTTATCCAACGAGGCTTAGAGGCTCCCTAGAGGGCAGGTCTGGCAGATGCAGAGAGTTAGAATTTCACCAAGTAGAATGATAAACGGAAAATGAATTGACCCATGTTTAAGATGTTGATAAGTGATAGACCATGAGGTCTATCAAAGAGAGGGATGAAATGAAAGCAAGAAAGTGAAAGGATCAAAGGACTGGACGGTCTGACAAGGTTGAGGAATTGGCATTGTTAGGACAAATCTGGAAGTCAGCATTTAGAATGGCAGACTGTGTTATTTCAGAAGATACAGTGATTCCTGATGATGAAGTTTCAGATATGATCACAGCTTGATTGAAGCAGAACTAAAGAATTCGGAGATGGAAAGGTCTAGGAAGTAAGAATCTGGGTCACTGAATGGGCTACGTGCAAAGATGCTGGGGTTGCCTGTACATGCCTCCTCATCAAGCTTTCTAGCCCGGGCACCATTCAGGCCCTTCTCTGGCCTTCAGAGGATCCGCCATCATACCTCAAGTTAAGGTTTATATTCTGAAAGTGTAATAACATGAATCTGGGCCAAAGAACAGAATAGGGAAGTTACAAAGAGTAGACATCTGTTTTGTCTTAATTCCAGGATGAATACATCTTTGGCAATAGTATGTCCTCTGTTAAAAAAAAAAAAAAAATAGTATGTCCTCTGTTGAAACTACACCCCGATTTCTTCAATCCCAGTCCATGTGCAGCTGGAGTGATTTTCCCTCCACACGCCTACTCCAGGATATGTATGTGACTCAGACCTGTCAGAAGAAGTTCTATTCCCATGAGCAGTGCAGCGAATAGCTTAGTGATTGATACATGAGAAACTGGAGGCCATAAAGCACAATGGTGTCAGGGTGACACCACTTTTTCACCTTTACTGAACCTGCTACCACACAAAACCTGAGACTAAGGTCAGCACTGTAGACTGAGAACCACGAAATGGAAATCTGAGGACTTTGAATTGAGTCCCTGCATCATTCCTACTATCTGAAGCTGGCCCTACTCCTTAATTGTTCAGTTGAATCAAAACATTTTCATTTTGTTTACACCAGTTAAATTCTATTTTATGTCACCTATTTTGAAATGAGTTATCGCAAAACAAGAGGGTCCTCAATCCTTGGTTCTGTCTTCTGGGATAGCCATCTCTATGCAAATATATTGATTTCTCTGTGCCCCAGTTACCCCTTACGTGAAAGGAAGTAGCAAAACCTACTTCAAAGAGTTGTGATGATAAATAGGATAATATAATTTCTTCTCACAATTCTGAGGAGCAAGAAACATCACATCACTTAATTTTTCTAAATTAATTTTGACTCAAACTTCTGTTTATCAGGGTTGGAAAACATCCAATATTAATCATGATTGGGGGAACTTCTTCCCTCTTCATCTGGTATCACTCTCCTCACACCACCCTCTAACCAAAAACAGAAACACTCAGGAAAGAACCTTGGGTCTTAATTCTATCATGGCTGCCACTGGGGCAGCTGTGCACTGTCTAAAGCCATCGAGTCCTTTCAAAGGCAAATGGTGCCACAGCATCTCTGCCAAGTATGTACACCAATATCTTTGCTGCAGTTCCCAAGACTGCATCCTACATGTTTAGTGCCCTTCCTAACAGAGGTCCTGCTGCTTCCAAGTGGCCTTTTGTACAGACCCTGTCACTCATGGAGCCCATCAGGGTATCTTTCTCAAGTCTCTGGGCAACTCCTCTTCTTTCAACCCAGCAGCTCCTCCATCTTCCCGAGAACTCCCAGGTAAGTTAAATTGCCCTCCCACCCAAGAGCTGGATAAGGATGTAGATGAACTATCTGGCAACTTTGTTTTGGGACTAGAAAACACAGAGTCCATGAACAATTTACTGTGACAAGAAAGCTAGACTCTCTGGAAAATAGGAGAGAAAAATTACCTTTTATCCTACTGTGTGTCTCCTTTGTCAAGGAGTAGGAGACAGCACTTGATAACTTGCTAAGTTATTCTACCATAGAAGTACTTCAGCTAGCATAGAACAGCGTAGAACAGGTATTCTTGCTTCTCTAATTCTCATCAGGACTCAACTTCTCTCCATTCAGAGGTAGCAAATGGGTCAGGTCTTATCTTTTGTTTTGCAGAAACTAAAGCAAGGTTTCACTAACTAATGTGTTGCCTTCAATCTCTGCCCTCACTATAGTCAAGAGTATTTTTTTCAAGACACAAACTTGATCTTGTCAATTCCCTGCTCAGAACTTTAAATGATTTCCCATCATCTTCAAGATCAATTTCTAACTCCTTAGTCTAGTATTTAGGGCCCTTTGTGATCTTGTCATTCCAGGTCCACCTCCAGCTGCATCCGAAAGTCTAACCCCACACGGCAGCTGCAGTGACAGATCTTCAGTGTCCCTGATGGAACATGCTCTCTCTGCCCCAGCACATTTACACTGGCTGTTCCTGTGGTTTGGGTTGTCCTCTCATTCCCTACACTGTTTTCTTGGATCCTCAAGCCAAGTATTATCTCCTCGGAGAAGCACCCCCAGACAAACAGCCCCTTTCCCCAAGCAGGGTATCTCTGCCCCCACAGGACCCTGTGCATGTCTGGATTTTGATTGTCTATTTACTTGACTATCCCCACCCCCCCAGAAATGGAACTTACTTTAGTGCAATCTTTGTCTTCCGTCTCCTCTGTATGCAGCACACTACCTAATCCACAGTAGTCACTCAATATAGTGTCACTCAATACCTAAAACCCAGTGAAAGAATGAATCTAGTCCAATGGTGGCCATGGAGAAAACTTTCTTCCCCAAGATCACAGTCAGCCAGCAACACAGCTAGAGAATTCAAGTTTCCTCAGTTTCAGCTCAGTGGTCTTTGTGTGAAACTAAGCTGGTCTTTGATGGAGGTGAGGTGAAAGAGTGGCATTTCAATGTACTAGGGAGACAGAGGCTGAAGTCTGGCCTTGAAAAGAAGAGCTGACAGGAAACAGGGTAGTGGTTTCAGGGGAAAGAGAGGCAAATGGGGACGAGGACCATTCTATGCATTTATTCTATTTATTCTATGCATTTATTCATTTAATACTCAAAACCTGAGATAATATTATCCCCATTTTATAAATAAGAAAACTCAGGATCCAGGGCCTCCCAGGTGGTACAAGGGATTAAAACACAGCACTGTGAAGCTATCCACAGCCTCTGCAGCACGAGTTCGATCCCCAGCCAGGGAGCTACCCACATGGCGTGGCAGACCTCTCCTGACTCACCCGCTGCTCCCCTCAGCAGTGTATTTCAGTCAGTCTGCCTGTTCTGCTCCCCACTCTGTCTCTGGTGAATCCTTCTCACCCCCTGCACCTCTGGCTTGCACCCCAGTTCTTGTACGTATAAATAATTAAAAAAAAAAAAAAAAAAAACTCAGGATCTGAAAGTTTAAATAGCTTGAGATTTCACAGGTAGGAAGTGGTGAAGATTTTTTTTTGACATTTTAAAAGGATAGATTAGGCAAAGGAGAAAGAAAACCACCTGCATAGTGACAATGAGTGAGGATTTGCGTAAGAGAATTTGATACTAGAATCCATGTTCTTAGCCACAATTGCCTTCAAACAAGAGGATAATTTGATCCTGGTTATTAAAACAAAGGGATCACCCAGATTTCATTGTGTGAAGTATGAATTGTCTGGTGAAGGTAATTTTTGGGCCCTGAATTCAAGAAGAAAACCGTTAGGCTCGTGGGGGATGGGAGTTCTTTTGTTCTGTGATGCCGTGATGACCTCAGGGTAAACCGCCACCAGGCTGAGGAAAATGGAATGGCTGCTAGAGAGTCTGCTTGGGGATGACTGGGATATGGGGATTCTCTGGGGCCAGTTGACCCAGGCCCTGGCCTGCAGGCACTGTGGCAGCAGCTGCTTCCAGAGTCCAGGGACTCTGGTGACACTGTTCTTGTTCATGGTTTGGCAGATCCAGAGGTGGTGGCAGCTTGGGAAGTGGCAACAGCTTCAGCCCTGGTACTCTGGAGACATGATGCAAGGCAAGGTGGGTGACATGGATGTCCAGCTGGGTAAATGATTGTTGACATCACATGTGAATTCAGGTGAGGAAGCACTGACAGGGATGGAGACCCAAGTGAATGACTGTAAACCTTTATTGTGAGACTGGCCAAGTCACCACTGACACCAGATCTGAAACCTAGTGAATGGTCACTGGAGCTAGGTAATGCCCATTAACACTGGGTGGGTGACTACTGACACAGAGGTGGGGCCAGGGAGGTAACTGTTCTAGATGTGGAACAGAGACTGAGGCGACCTGACATACCTTGTGTCTGCAAGGCTTTGTGTCTGACAGTGTCTTTGGACTCCCCAGGACCTACCTCTCCTGCACCGCTGGGCATTCCTTGATCGCCTGTGGAAGCACACATCAGAGGAGGAAGAGGAAGAAGGGGATGAAGAGGAGGCAGAAGTGGCATCTCTGAATCACCTGAAGGCATATTCTCTTCCCCAAGAAGCTCCTATTGGAGAGGAAGCCACCACAGGCTCATCCCGGACATCCTGTGGTTCTGATGATGCCTACAAGACCACAGGAACACCAGAGCAAGTACTCATGCAGACCCCAAACCCTTCCAGTTCCTTCCCCATCTTTCAGATACTGACCAACCTGCCTGCGAGGCACAATGGAGTCTCAGGGAGGTGTCTACAGCAGCAAAAAAGTCAGTTCTTCTGGGGTTTCCCCTCTCTGCACAGTGAATCTTTGGAGGCCATCTTCCTGAGCTCGGGTGGCCCCTCTCCCCTGAAGTTGTCTCTTGGTCTTTCTGTTTTCTTCAACAAGTTTGCTTCCCTATCTGGGACCAACCTGCTGTTTCCCCGGGATTGTTTCCCAACTCAGCTACCTACCCATGAAGCCCATACTACAGAAGATCTGGAAAGGATGGCCCTAGATCCTCAGCAACTTCCCCTTTCCTCTCCCTCTCCTGTCCCATCTCTACCCCTCCATTTAAAACCCTTTCCCATGGACAACAAGGGAGTCCTATCTGGCCCTGAGGCACACACTCAATGGCTAAGGCAGCAGAGAGAGGTCCTTCGGGTCTCTGAAGAGCAAGCTCTGCACCCACAGCCTAAACTCCAAAGAACCAGAAAATCCAAGCTCTTCACTTCACCTGAGGTTCAATGGGGGGTGCCATGGGATCTCGGTCTCCAACACCACATTTTAGAGCCACTCTCTGCCCCTCCGTTTTATCCCTCTAGCCTTCTAGTCCTGACTGGATCTGAGGTCCCATCGAGGACTATGGGGCAAAATGAGGATACCAAAGCCTCTGAGCCACCAGTGCCGGCTCCCAACCCAGTCTCCCTGCCTGAACTCCAGGAAATCAACCCTATAAGAGACCTGTCTGGATCTCAGGCCCTCTGGGAAACCACTAAGCAGAGAAAAAAAATTCATACTTGTGAGCCTTCAATCCTGGCCACTTGCCAACCCAGAGCCCCTGTGACAGGGCCTGAAGGAATTAATCCTTTGGGAATGCCACCTGGATATGAGACTCAGTGGGGAAGCATCAGCCATAAAAAGAATCTTCAAGTCTCTGAGGCTCCAATGCCGCCAACCCCCTGCCAACCCTTATATTCTCTGTCAACGCCCCAGAAAGTCAACCCTGAAGGTGGATGTTTTGTACCTACAGACTTCTGGAGAACTGTGGGACATAAAGAGACCAGTCAGGTCTCTGGGTCTCCAATGCCAGCCCTCCCCTCTCCCCCAGACCCTTTAGCAGAGCTCCAGGGAGGCAGACCCCTGGGAGACCCATTTGGATATAAGTCACAGTGGGGATGCAGAGAAAATTCAGGAAAGCCCTGGGCCTTTGATCCCCTAGCCTTGAGCCTCAACCCAGTGCTCCATGAAACCAGCCCTGCATGTGTCCCATCAATATCTGAGAATTCAGGGGAGAGCATACAAGGCAGAGAAATTCTTTGGGTCTCCGTAGACTCAGTGTCATCTCCCAACCTCCCCTCAGTCTCTCTGCTGGAGTCCCTAGTAGTGGGTCCCCAGGGAGTCCTGTCTGAGTCCAAAGCTTTGTGGGACAGCACAGGGCAGAGAGAGAACAGCTGGACCTCCCAGTCCCCAGCACCTGCTCACAGCCCACCTCTAGATCCCATTCTAGAATCCCCCAGAGTCAGTGGTGTGGGAGGCTTCACTAGATCAGATGCTGCCAGGAAGGACACTGAACATTCCAGCAAGTCTGAGCCCCTATCTCTGGCCCTCAGCTCACCGCTGGCTCTTACATTGGAGTCCCTCAGAGTTAGTTTCTTAGGAGTCCTGTTTGATTCTGAGAACAGATGTGGGAACGTACAAGGGAAGAAGAACCCTTGGGTCTCTAAGATCCCAGATTATAGTTTACTCCAAAACCCATATGACACAAGTCCCTTGGGATTACTGTTTGCTTCGGAGCCTGTTTGGAGGGACATGGGGCACAAAGAAATCAACTGTGTTCCTGTTTCCCCAGCGTGGGGCCCTAGTCCACCCTCAAACTCTATGTCAAAGTCTGACATAAGTGAGCCTAGTAACCGTAAGCCTGAGGGGGAAGCAATGAAAGAGAGAGAGAACTCCTGGGCCACCAAGCTCCCAGCCGCAATTCCCAGTTCAGCTCCTTTACCAAATCCACACACTGACCTGGCCTTTGTAAATACGCAACACAGAGCGATTCCCCAGGGCTCCAGCCCTCCAGCAGTGGATCTCCTGAAGCCAACACCCTGGCTTCCCACCCTACCTGACACGCTGAAGATTGAGCCCCAGAAGAGTGGCCAAACCAAGGGAACACCATTCCCTGGAGTTAAAGCAGAGACTCTACCCTCCCAGGGAGAGGCTGTCCTAGGGGTACCCACCCACTCTGGGGTCCAGGCTTGGCACTGGAGCACAGAGCTGGAAGCGAGGCTTAAGAAACTGCAGCAGAGTCCTGCCTCCAGATCTCCTGGCCCAAGCCAGTCATTTGGCAGCTGCCCTGCCCTGAATTCTACAACACCAGGCTCCAGGGGACTCTCTTCCTGTCCTCCCCAGCAGACTAATGCCCCCAGTATGTGCCCCCACTCTTCAAGCTGTCATCTCCCAAAAGTTAGGAGCACAGTAACTCAGCCTGTCCAGGCCTCCCACTGTCATCACCCCAACACCTTTTCCCAATGTCAACTAGGAGGGTCTGACAGGGCAAAGCAAGGGTCCGAGAGAAAGGAAAATATGAAGGCAAAAATGGTGGTCCAGGTCTCATCCCAGAGGCCATGTTGCCACATGAAGGCTGGTGAGAACTGCCCAGGTCTAGGAGAGCCCTCAGACCTTAAGGTTCCAGTCTCAGGTAAGAGACAGGACAAGACTTCCGCCCTATCTTCAGCCAATGAAAGAGTGAGCCCCAGGAGACCCAAAGAAATAGACGGAGGAGGGGATGCAAGATTAGGGTCATCCACAGTTAAAGGGAAGAGCCATCCAACTCAGGCCCAAAGACTAGTGGAAGCCGCTGCAAGCACAATTTCCCAAAGATCTCACTCCAGGGGCCAGAGCTCTCGACATACTCTGCCCCAACTGCTTAATTCCAAAGTTGCAGATTTCCAAGATCAGCGAGGGGCAGGGATGGGAGCTGGTGACACCCCAATACTGCGACACTGTAAGCACTGCCCTTGGGCCCACATGAAGCATCGCTCCTCCACACCTCAGGATCCCCTAACCAGAGGTCTCCGACGGGTGATAGCCAAATTTGTGGGTACCAATGGGCCCTGCTCACCAAGGTCAGTGAGCAGAGAAAAGGCTGGTAGTACTGGCACACAGTTATCCCAAGATGTGAATTCAAACCAGTTTGGGGGTGGGGGGAAGAGACAAGCAGAGTAACTAATAAACTAGGTGAACTAGGCAAATCCCACTCATTTTGTTTGGAATCTGGGGTACTAGAAATGTCAATTATGTCTGCAGCAACAAGCACTCCAATACCTACATCAGAAACTTGTCATCCCTGATACCTCTGCTTCTCACTCCCTGATCATCCAACTGTCAGTTATATCCATGAACTGTTATTTCAAATTCATCTTCATCTCTCTGCCTCCAACATCACTGTCCAACATCTTTCCCCATCAAATTGGTTGCTTTATTCCATCTAATCTATTCTCCACATAGCTACAATTCTCTGCATATCAACTGACCTAACAAGTGTCATTTGAGTAAAGGAACAAAACAGATGCAACCTGTGGTCCTAGACTGGATACTCATTTGGTCAAAAGTTGTGAATGACCTATTTGGGTGACTTGGGAAACTCCACAGTGTATCATTAAACAAAAACTGAAAGGAAAAGGTGGAAATTATTGGCTAAAAAAGTTACACAGCAATAATCTCATTTTGAATTTAAAGTTAACATGTATAGACACATTTACACAAGTGTAGATTCAGAAAGATATGAACTACCTATTACACTAGTGATATTTTTAACGTTTTGCTTACATTCTCCTAAATTTCAATGTTACTGCTTCTATAGTTAAAAGGTTATTTTAAAAAATTGTTTATGCACAATGCATACTGTGGTTGACACTACTACTAAAATTTTTACAATAAAAAAGTGAATTGTCAGACACTGAAATCTATCATCTTCCTGCCTAAAATCCCGAGAACCCATGTCTTTAGTTCTTCAAAATGTGGTTTTTGATCTCCAATTCACTCCATGTTTCTTAAACACTGTATTTTCTGGCCTCTGTGCCTTTTGCTCAAACCCCACTTTCCTTCTTTATCGCCCAGACTACCATCAGAACTTTCTCTTGATTCTCTCTTGGTATGGTTTTCCCATCCTGGCAGTCCCACAACACTCCGTCTTGCTGCTAGCACTCACTTCCTGAACGGTATAGCTATTAATCCCTTCAAAGAACAAGTGATATTCTATGAGGTCAAGTTCACATCCCCAGTCCAGTGTTCTTCTCTCTATACCATTCTTTCTGAGAAAAAACAGTCAGCCAGAAGGTCATGCTGTTTCTCTGCTTCCTCTGTTACTTTTGTGTTCCAAAGCTTCATTTAGCCCATGCCTGTATACAGGTTTTAAGTCCAGACCAAGTGGGGAACTGAAGGTACTTTCCCTCTCCCCGCCTAGCTACTATATCCCCCTGAAAAGTCTTGAAGAAGGCAATTCTGAATTTTGACTCAACAAAGCGTCCTTCAATGAGTCCATAGACCTCTGGATAGCTCTATTAAAAATCCAAGTACTATTTTTTTTCTCTGTCCTTCACATTTTAAAAGAACAGGTTTATTAGGAAAAGGAGAAAGTATGAGAGACACCTGCAAAAGTCACAGGTGGGCAGAAGGGCGATGCTAAGTCCCATATCCTTGTCTTTTTAAGCACTCAGGTTGTTGGATAGGCGAGGTAACCAACCACTCAGTACTTGCTATAGTTCAGTTGAATGAATAATGGACACACCTGTGCTCCTCACGGGCATTGTGTCCACTGAGCTCTCAGGGTTCTCTTGGAGGATCAGTATCTTGGATCCAAACATATCTCAGTATGTTAAGTTTATAGTTCCTTCTTTGCTTTTGCCTGTTGGTCCTCTATGATCTATGTGAAGTCCTCTCGGTTAGAAATCTTCTAATGGTAGCACTGATCCTACAGGAAGTAGTGATTAGCTAGATTAAAATCATATTCTAATTTCTTTGTAATTAAAGAAACTGGAATTCCCCCTCTGGGGGAAAGACAGTCTATACAACTTGTCTCTTGGTTTTAGTATGCAAGGTTCTTTAGGTACAAGCTGACCATAGACAGCCCCTCATATTGCTTCTAGATTATAAAGTACAATCAATCATTTTTAACACATTAAGAAACTCAAGGCCCCTAAAGAGCTGAGCACCTTGTTCAAGATTACACTGTTTATAGCGTAAATGCCAGGACTAGAAACGCCTCTCACTGAAAGTGCGCTTACTTTTTCCTAAAGAATCTGTAAAGCTTCAACTGTCCTCTCTATACTTTGTGACAAATGAAAGCAAAATAATCATTCTAACACAAATTTCTATCACTTATCAACTAGCATCTCCACATATTCTGGGAAAATACCAACTGCTTTCTGTTTTGTTCCCACAGCCCAATAAGGAGAAAGTAAATAAATGTCTTTCCCAAAAAGATCTTGTCTTTGGCCCCCACTGAGGTTAGGCTGTCAACCCACAGGAGTGAGACAGTGACAATTTTCAGAGTGGAAAGAAGACTAAAGTCACCAGGATACCTAAAGATAACCTAAGACAATGTATCTGGTAAAAAATAATATGGGAAATGACAACAGTTAATTCAAATCCACAAAGTGCAAAAATAACTATTTCACAGCATGAGTTAGAGATGCCCCAGTTTAATCAGCCAATAAAATTACCTTAATAGATAATCTAGGTAAACCAGACCAGAGCCTGGTGTAATACTAGGACATCTAGGAAGCAATACAAATTTGACTCAATAAATTATTTTCTTTGCACCATACTCCTCTTTGGGTAAGGCATCATGGTACTGATCCCAGAAGAACTACATGATTACATTAGTACCTGTTGAACATACTCTGTACCTAGACAAAACCATGCAAAGCAATCATCTGAAAAACTAAGGAGAGAATGTTTAGCTAAGAAAAAAACATACCCAATACTAGAATTTTATATTAGGAAATGCTTTTTTTTATATAAAACAAATTACATAAAGTAAAGCTGGACATATTTGTAAGTGACCCTCAATCAGAGCATGAATGCGTGGGATTTTTATGTATCAAAAGAATGTCCATCTCCAGATAGCAACTGTATCTTCCTGCAATCCTAAAACTTTGAGGTCACCCCAATCCAGTCCTCAGCCAGGAAAAGGAATCTCTGAAGGACTAGCCTTGCCATCCACATCAAACATAGGTGGAGGACACCACATCAGGAGCTTCATCTGGCTTCTCCTCCTGTACTGCAGTCCTATCCAGTGATACTGAGCAGGAAGTAGCAAACCACCGATGTTATCAGGAGGGAAAGAGTGCAATCTTAACTTTCCAGATTTCAAATTTGGAAGAGTGCCTTGGCAGTGAGAGGAAGCCCAGGCCCTTCCCAGGAAAAGAAGCAGGCACAGGGGCCGGGACTCATAGGCTCCATTTTGACCCAACGTTTATTGTCCTTTTACAACATGTCATTTTTGGTTTAGAAACTGCTTATGATTAGTTTTCCAACATTAACTCAAAAGCATGTAAAATAAAATCAACCTATTCTCTATATAAACACCCAGCAACTGTGGCCCTTCAGCCTCCTGCCCAAGTTGGGTAGGGAGACGAAGAGAAGGCTCAGGCAGCACTGAGTGAAGTGCAGATGCTTTACTGTGGCGTGGCAGCAGTGCCTTAGTTCACACCCACAGGGCCCCTGCACTGCCCCAAACTACAACAGATATGGCGTAGGCCCAAGGCCCAATTCCTTGTTGGTAATTCACTCTCCGCCTCCCAAATGAAAATCGCTTTTATTTTATCGCTTTTGTAATTTTTTTTGCAACAGAAACCCCCTGTCCAGAGTCTGACTGTAGCTGAACTGTTCAGACTGAGGAATGGAGCAGGCCGTGGGCGCACCCCTGGTCCCTCCTGGGCGAGCGCCCCCACCCTCAGGGAACAAGGTCCAGCCAGGCCAGCTCACTGCACGCTAGCCACCACCAGTTAGCCATACAGGTCATCATCATTGTCTTCTGTGTACACACTGCCTCCTGTGCCGCCTCCACTGCCCTGACTGGGGCCAGCTCCGCCCTGGTTTCCTGAAGGGAATCTGTGTGCACAAGAGCAGAGTCAAAAGAGTATTAGAATAGGGCCTGTGGAAGATTCTCAAAACAACCCAATACACCTTGGGTGTGGGGTTCCACAAGACAACATAAGCACAACCCACTGCAACCTAATTACCTGAAGCTGCCAAAGCCCCGACTCTGCTGAAGGGTCTGAGCAAACATCTCATACTTCCGAATGTCATTATCACTGACAGAACGGCGGGCAAAGCGCATGGCTTCCTCAAAGTGATCTCGGCGGATCTCGGGCACTGGATCATCCTCTTCTACCTCCTGTGGGATGGGTAAATGCAGATGACCAGAGCTAGCTAGTTAAGGCCCAGCTGCTTCTTCCCTGGCCTACCTATCCCCCATTATTGCAGTAGTTGACAGTCTCCCTGCCTCTCCAATCCAACCCAAGCAAGGTGTCAGGCCAATATTCCTACAAGTGAGTCACTGACTCAACTTAAAAACCTATCAACACATTCTGGAAGGGTGGAAACGAAAGGACAGAAATCCTATCAACATGCTGCTGTGGGCTTACAGTGAGGAAAGGTGCCACTAAATGGCACAAGGGAACATTCTGGGATAGAAATTTCTGTATCCCAACTGTGGTTTAGTTTTAGAACTTATATGGCTGTCCAAAAATGGAAATGTATACCTTAAAGTGGTGAATTTCATTGTATGTAAATTGCACCTCAACAAACCTAGATTTTAAAAAGAAAACGCCAATGGCTCTCAGTGTTTACCACATTGGGATTACAACTTGCCTAGACATCTCACTTATTTTTTTTTTTTTTTTTTTTATACATGCACTGGGTACAGTCAGAAACACGGGAGGGTGAGAGAATTCACCAGAGCCAGAGCAGGGAGCAGAGCATGCAGAAGGACCGAAGCACACTGCTCAGGGGAGCAGCGGGCGGCAGGAGAGGTCTGCGCGCCATGTGGGACCCTCCTCCTGTGGCCAGGGAGCAGCCAGGGATCGAAATGGCGCCGCAGAGGCCGCGGGCAGCTTCGCAACCCAGCGCTCAACCGCTGCGCCACAGGGGAGGCCTGACATCTCACTTCTACTAACAAACACATACCCTCTTGAATTCATCCAGGTTCCTCCAATTCCTGCAGCCCTAACTCTCAAGCAGGTTATTTGGATTTTTTATTTCCTTTACCTAAATTCCACTCTCCCTTCTCAACCCATCTCAACCCTATCTTTTCTACTGAGAAGTTACTCTAATTGCTGTGATTTATGAGCTTACTTCCTAGGATTAGTGCACCAGTTTTTAAGCTTTCATAGGAAGATGTCACAGAATCCCTCCAAAAGGTAAGAAGAATCATACATTCAGCTTTTTTCATTCATTTTTAAGTCTCTAACATGGCAACAAATAAGCAAAATAATACAGAATTCCTATCTTATAAACAGCACCCTCAAACCCCTCTCCAAATTTTGCACTTAAATTTCAGGAGATTCATGGACTACCAGGGGTTGAGCCACAGAGCCTACGTGCTTTGTTCTACTTGTTTATCTGCCCAATCATACTTTGATTTCCCCAAAAAAGCCTACTACATACCCTCCTGAATTCATCTCTTTCCAATTTTTGTAATTCTAGACCCAAAGGGTTAAATCTCAATCTTCTTTCTCTTTGAGGTCCTACTAAACATCTCATTGAGATGATCTTTCCAAAACCTTATACTCTTTCAAACTCCTGGGCATGATGGAGCTTGTCCCCTGCCCGCCCCCCCGCAAGTGGCAAAATCCTGGGGAAGGGTGCAGACTCACCATGGCTGATGGGTTGGTCTGTCTCTCCCGTTCTCGCCTAATTTCACTCTCAATGGATTCACGGATGGCCAGCTTGCAAGCACGCTGGCAA